TGTTTTGTGTCTCTTTGTGGTTGTTTTGTGTCTCTTTGTGATTGCTTTGTGTCTCTTTGTGGATGTTTTGTGTCTCTTTGTGGTTGTTTTTTTCTTATTGTGGTTGTTTTGTGTCTCTTTGTGGCTGTTTTTTGTCTCTTTGTGGTTGTTTTGTGTCTCTTTGTAATTGTTTTGTGTCTCTTTGTGGCTGTCAGTGTCTATAGATGGCTGAAGGACATTTATTTGTATTAGGTGAACTGGTTCAGTACATACACTGGAATCTAGAAGTCTTGTCCCAGTGCAGAAACTTGCAGCTGTTTCAAGGTGTCCTGAAACTTTGTGCATGTTCTGACAGCTAAGATGGTTCCTGCAGAGCCGCTTTTTGGAAAAAAAAACAAAAAACAAAACAAACAAACAACAACGAAACAGTTCCTACCTGCTATTCTGAGCCACCTTGGAATGCTGCTGTACAGGTGTCAGTGCTGATTGATTGAACTTGTAGAGAACAACCAGTACCACTCTTGTCCTCTCTAAGGTCGGTGGCTTCAGTGCAAACGTCTCGGTACTCTCTAACAGAACAAACCTCCATTGTTCTGGTTCCTACATAGAGCTGCATCCTCTGACTTCTGTTTGTTTTCATGTTAACACAGCTGTCTGAGCCACCACACAAACTTCACGCTGTAGAAGTTTTCTTCACCAATCATCATCATCTTCTTTTCCACCATGTTTCCAGCCTCCATCTTTGACGAAGCCTCCCTCCCTGTTTGTCCTCACCTCCCTCCTCCTCCTCGTCAGGATGCTGATGGTTAAATCCAGTCTGCTGATGGCTCAGTGCCAGTGGCAGCGACAGCTCAGAGCGTGGAGGAAACAAACAGGAAATTAACTTTGTACGGTGTAACAGGCAGCTCCAGCCAAGAGAGCTGATTGGTCAAAATAACCCAACCTGTAAAAATAAAAAAAACAAACGACCTGATAATGTCTGAAACACTCAGTCAGGTTTCTCTGGCTGTGATTCCAACCAGGGAGCTGGTTAACAAACTGCCGCCTCTGTTGTCTTTAATCAGTGAAGTGCTGATTACTGACTGTAATGATAAACCTGACGATGATGTACCTGTTCAGGCACTTAATTCTGCTGTGAAGGCAAACACTCAAGTTCAACTGTCAGCAAACTGAGAAACAAACTACATGCAGAGAGAAAGTAATTAAAGACAAAAATAAAAAGTAAACAAAGCTCTAAAGTCAGATCTATTGGATGCACTGTGCCCGTGTTTACTGCTGTATCCATGGTAACCAGTGACCCCTGATGACCTGCGTTTCCATGGTCACAGCCAGTGACACCTGATTCATAGTGTATTATTTTGTCACATCCGATGGTGCCCTGTGACCACCGTTTCCATGGTTACAACCAGTGACACCTACTTGCAGTTGTTTCCTTGGTAACTACCAGTGCCACCTGCTGTCCACTGTTCCCATGGTGACAGTGGTTTGACCTGATTTGCTGTGTTTGTCGTCCACCCACCCACCATGTATCGCACTGCAAAATCACACCAAAGGGTTGTACAGAAGCTGCGCGCTACATCGACCAACGCGGACCATCATGCATTGCAGCCTGTCTGTGACAAGAAGAAAAAATGTTACGCACCAATTTTAGATACTGGCTAATGGGATTTAGCCATGACCCTCAGATGTCTCACATGTGCAGCAGTTTAACAACAAATGTCGTTATTAATACGCCTACAAGAACCATATTTTAGACTTTATTTGCTCATAGCTTACCTTGGAAATATTTACACTGCAACTATAACAACCACGGGACTACTGCTGCTTTTTTAATGCACTTAACTGCATTGCATGGTTAATTTACAATGATTAACGTTAGTAGTAGCGGCT